AACCCTGACAAAACCAGTAAACCCGTTATTCGAGTGAATAGTAAACCCGTTACGCCGCATAATCCATTATTTTTACTGATTTGGCAACAGGCCACACGATGTGGCCTGCTGCACCAAAAAAGCTCTAATACGCTAATACGAGTATGTATTATCTATATCTTCCTGTCTTCTCTGATTACTATTGAAGATGCATGGAATAATCAACCACATACGTAGTATTAAGTTGATTATTACAATAAGTTGGTGCATGGAAAGCTCATCTTAAGAAAAATTCTAACTAGATGGATTTGTTTGAAAAGCCGCCATATAATTATTTAATTTATTTTGACGACCTTTTTTTAAAGGAGCGTGAGTGTAAAATAATGTACGCGTTTGTTTGTTAATTAAAATCCTAAAAATTAACTCAAATCCTCATTACTCCATTTCCTTTTTTAAAGTCATCATTAATTAACTTTAACGGTATACTAGATTAGTGCAAGTGCAATGTACAGTAGTAATAATTTTTTTCCCATAATTAATTTGCAATATATAGTACACTATAAAAATGAGACAACTCATGTTAGTCATGTATAATAACAAATGCAATTCATATAAGAAAGAAGAAATAATAAGACAAAATGTATTAAAACCACAATTGAATATATATATATATAGAACGATTTCCTTAAATATTGCTGAAATCAAAATTAATTCCTACTTTGCATTGTTTTAAAAATTTATTCCCTGAATGGTGTCCACGTAGGATTGGATATTAGCTTTGTTTTTTTTTTTTTTGGTTATGAGTAGAACCGCAATTAATATAGCGGTTTTACATGTATTTTGAACCAATATTGCTAATTTGGTATTGGCGTTTCTTTTTGCAAGTTTGTTAGCCATCCCACCGATAATCTGATATAATCTCACCATTTACACTGCAAGTTTTTTTAACAGCCCTACAGCAAAAAATTACAAAGAAAAACAGGAAGAACAAAAAAGTACATGAAATTGGAGTTCTTGAGGTTGAATGCTGAGGTATTCCCTTAAATTCATAATGGTGTGAAATTACCCAGAAAATAAAAACAAAATTACAATTAAAAGTTGGGTTTAGAGAGAGGAAGAACCTAATAGAGAAGATCAAAGAAAACTTGATGTTTACATAATGAAAGTCAGAGAGAAAATAGGAAGATAGAGATTTTTTTTTTTTTTTTGTATAGGGCCCAATTTTAAGTTTTATCACCATTATAATCGTATTTTACTACTACAGCAGTATACTAGATTACTAGTCATCTAGTATCATGTAAATCATTAAATGTAAAAGAAAAAAAGGGCTAATATCCACATAAACAAACAAAACAAAACAAAACAAAACAAAAAAATTAATAAAACAAAGCTATCTCCAATCCTACATGGACACTATTCAGGGAATAAGTTTTTTAAACGACCCAAATTAGGAATTAATTTTGATTTAAACAATTTCTAGGGAAATCGTTCTATATATATATATGTATGTATATATATATATATATATATATATATATATATATATATATATATATATATTAAAAATAGTATATATTATATTACATTAATGATGCATTTTATTCCCAACTAGGTTAGTTCCCGTGCCTTGCACGAAAATTTTCAATAATCATTTTTAAACTATCGTTATAATTTATAATCAAACAAAATAAAATCTAAAAATATAGTTGATAAATTTTGATCAAAATAAGGGATTACAAGTATAAAATGTGTAAAAGTTATCAAACTTATGTTAAGAATGTCTTTTTTATAGCTACAAAAAAATTTTTTGCGTTAAAGATATGTCTATTTTTTTTTTTTATTTTAAGTAATTACATTGTATAAATTTAGAGAGCTATATTTGTATAAGATTTGTTTCTTAAAAAATAAAAAAAATAAAAAAAAAACTAAGGACACACCAGGAGATGACACGTGTCATTGCTGGTGTATCTTTTAGTATATAGTTATTGATAAAACTATACAATATAGATGTCGTATGAATTTTTTTATTAATGAATAAAATTAGTTAAAAAAATAAACAAAGTACTTTCAAAAAATAAGTTAAGTAGATAATTAAAAAAAAATTTTAAACCCTTAAAGCTGACATATATCATATATTGTATTGGTGGGAAATGTTTTAATGCTAGCTTGATACATGTCAAAAATGATCCATGTAAGCATGACCTATTTTATTCACAGTTAATAGATTTATTGAAGGAAAAAAAAAAGTCTTACGATTGTAATTTAGGGCATGTTCTCTTCAGCTTCATTTCATTCCAATTCAGTTTAGCTCAGTTCAGTATATCATAATATGCCCTTATTAAAGAAATATATAACAGAACACTAACTCAATTATTATTGGTTCGTATGATTATAAATCAGCATCATGAATATAATTGTTATTTTTTATCCATTGAACTTCACTATGTACAATTATATATATAATGGTAATTTGAATGTTACTCCGTTATATTGTATTTTGGCTTCGTTATTTATATTCTCCTCCGTATTTCATCACCTTTTAATTTAAAGTTTATTCTCCCTCAGTTAAAAGGTTTCATAGTCTTTTGTAACTGTTTTAAGTAAATAGAACACGAAATAAAAAAGATCAATACATAAATATAATATATAAGATTAGGAATAATATTATTATTGTTGTATTTTATATTCAAATATTCCCAAATATAAAAGATTTTTGCTAAAAAATGAAGGAATGAGTTTTGGAGGGAAAAAATGGAACCAGGAAGTGACACGTACTCCCTCTGTTTTTAAATACTTGCTCCATTTCTCCATGTACTGAGTTTTAGGAGAAATCGGAGAAAGTAATAAAATGGAGGTAGTGGGGTAGTAGAGAGAATAAAAAATTACAAAAAAAACACAAGTAGTGGAAGAATAGGAGGAGAGAGAGTATTATGTTGGGTCCACTAAGTGTGAGAAATGAATTAAATATTGTAAAAGTTTTTCAAAAAAGAAATGGAGCAAGTATTTAAAAACGGCCGGAAAAGGAAAGTGGGGCAAGTATTTAAAAACGGAGGGAGTATCATTTAAATTGCTTGTTTAACTATTATGTTATTGATTTTTATTGACACATATTGAATATGTACGCAAAAAAAACAAAATCATTGATCTTATAATTCTTATTAGTTATGCATATGAAAATATATTTTCCAAATCAAACATTAATTTTCTTATAATTTTGACAAATATTCAATTTAAAATATTAATGACAACTTGTTTTTTAGAGACAGTATATTATAGGATGATAAATACAGTGAGTTTTATAAATTAAAATAAAGGCAACTAGTATTTTACTTAATAAAAAAAAATCTTTTAATAATATATTGACTCCCACACCATAAAAATTACTCTTTCCATTCCTAAAAGTTCAACCCACTTTGCATTTGCGTGGTCTCCAATAATATCTTTGACCATAAATATTTTTGGCTATATATATGTGAAAATTATAGAAAGTTGATATTTATAAAATTTAAAATAAGAAGAATCTATTAAGATCTTACATGTTGATTCATTTTTATTGTAAATCATAAAAATGTGAAAATTAGATAATACACCTGGGTGCACCATGCTCATGGTGCACCCGGGTAAACAAAAAAAGGCGGAAAGAACATATAGTGTTTGATAAAGAACATACCTATGTTTGACAAAGAACATACCTTTAATATGTTATTTGAGTGTGATCAGTGTGTTCTTTGAGTAAAATTATATGTTCTTTACATTATAACTTATGTTATTTAACATATGTTGATAAACATATTTTTTTTTTGGCTTTAATAATACAAAGTATGTTCTTTTAATTTGGCGTGTATGTTCTTTAAGGTCGTAGTGACGCCCAAATTCTATTTTTTATTATCATGTCATATTTAAATTACTTTTATTATCGCACATTCTTTGAGTTTGATTAGTGTGTTATTTAGGTATTAACTATATGTACTTTACAATATAAAGTATGTTCTTTTTAACATTTGGTATTTTGAAATTTGATATTGAAATCTTAAATTATTTTTAATTGAAAATAATGTTAGAGTAAAAAAAACTAAATTATTATGGGAAGTTGAATTTTTTTTTTGGAGAGATAGAAAACTATTTTTTGGGGAAATGATATCTTTGGTAAGGATTTTTTAAGAGGTGATCAACATTGGCATGACTCACATCCCGACCCGGTCCGGCCCGAAATAGGGTGGGTTTGGGCAAACCTAAAAATGCATTTTTTAGTTAAAACTCGATCCGGGTTCGAAAAAAGCCCGAAAACCCGCTACTTTTCTACGAGTTTGAGCACGAGAAATTATGATATGGCCCGGCCCTACTCGATTATTTATCACTTCTAAATTTTTCCCGTTAATAATGTGTAATTTTTCAGAAAATTTTATCAAGCTTTTATCTCGTTCTTTTTATTATATCTTTATGTTCTTTGGTAATGCATGTTTTTGTCAAATACAACCATGTTCTTTGTCAAATACATGTATGTTCTTTATGAAACACAGGATGTTCTTTCCGCCTTTTTTTTATTTATCCGGGTGTATGATGAGCACTGTACACCCGTGTGTATAAACCACAAATTATAAAAATGTAGTCAAATTTATTTTATTTTGAGCGCATAAATAGCAAGTGAACTGGAGTAGTACTTCTAAAGATTAAAGGTATCATATTATCCCTTATAAAACTTATCTCAAAAATTTTACCTCTTAATGTTCAATGAAAATTGTACCCATACCTAGTAAAAAATTAAAATTGATTAAACGTTAATACCTTTTTTTAATTTTAAGACATAAACGTTACCTTAAAACTGGGTACTGTACACTTGATAATCCCACCGAAAAGTTTTTAAATTGTTTTTGAAATAAACAATTAAATGTTAGTTATCGTTGTTGACATTGTCTTACATGCATGCATGCCTATATATATATAGAACTTCAACCCATTATTTTCTACCAGAAACAAATCAATAACGACCTTAGTAGGAAAAATTAACTGCTATGCTAAAAATGAAGTTATCCATTTTTGAAATTCTATTGTTTTGCTTATTATTCTTCAATGGCCTTCATCACTGCCTAGCTATAAAACGATACCGCTTTGAGGTTTGTATATGCATTTGAATTTTTTTTTTACATGGTATATACATACGAAGTATATTATTACCCAACTTAAATTATTCATATTGTACAAATCATATATTTAGTTAATTTTCAACATGTACAACCAGCCAATTACCGATGGCTTGGGACTGACAGCCACGATAATCCATTGGTTGATTGTAGCTCATGATTTCATGATCATCTTTTTTTACGAAAAGACTACCATTTTATGTTTTGTTTTTTTAGATATGACCTGGATGGATGCATGCATGCAGGGATCAATTCTTTTGAAATTTAAAATTTTATAATGGTAATTTGAGATATAACTATCATAATATTATATAGTAATGATTATGCATTCAAAGATTGGTACTATAAAAATTTGAAGTATCAAATAAATGTGATAGATATGTGCTAGATGGAAGTAAAAATAGTCAAAGTGCTTCTAAATTGTTCTAGACCATGTATAATAGATAAAAATAAATGAAACTTATAAAAACTGGTGAACGGTAATTGCAGTTGAAAGAAGAAAAACACACAAAGCTATGCAATACGAAGAACATCTTGATAGTAAATGGACAGTTTCCAGGACCAACGATACATGTTCACAAAGGAGAAACAATTATTGTCGATGTCATTAACAGTGGCAACTACAATGTCACTATCCATTGGTAACACCCTTATTCTATCTTTACCATCTTATATTCCTAGCAAGCTACTTCCTCTGTTTTTTTTATAGTTGCAACACTTCTCTTTTTAAGCTTATCGATGCATATTTTAAATCGTTAATATCTTTGATTACCAATATATAAAAATTATAAATTTTAAATATTAAAATTGTGCAAATCAAGACGAATCTAACAAAAACCCACATGATTATATTTACTTGTGTATAAATTGTCAAAATTAGTTAAAGTGAAACACATGAATAGTGTAAAAGTCAAACTGTTGCAACGATAAATAAACGAATGGGTATTATATTACTACGTATTATGTATTTTATCTGTACATTATTAATTAAATTTATTGTTAGTGTTCTAAATGTATAAAAAGAATGTTTCCAAAAAAAATGTATAAAAAGAAATTATTTTTATTGTTTTATGATTTGGCTGGATGAGGCCATGCAAGCAATTTCTAAACAAGTTAAAAAGTCTAGTTTACTAACATGTGAATGTCTTAACCTCTTTGGTTCATTATCGTAAAGGAAAGGAAGGGAAAGGGAGAGAAAAGAAAAGAGGAAGAGAAGGGAAGGGAAAGTGATTTTATTTTCCGATTTTTGGTAAATCTAATATATAATTGTAGAGTAAGTGAATGAGGAGCCTCCAAAACATCATTCCTCAACTCTCATGCATTTAGGTTTTTTTTTTTTTTTTTTTTTTTTTTTTTTTTTTTTTTTTTTTGTTTTTTAAGAAAAAAATAACTACCAATCCCACTACTTTATTATTTTTTTTTTTAAATCAATAACTACCCCATTCACTATTTCCTTTTTATTTTTCTTGTTATTTTTTTTCCCAATGGACTACTACTAACATTTCACTTTTTTTTTGCATTACCACAATTATACAATTCTTTTATCAACAATTCAATATAGCACTCAAAATGCCCAACATTTCATTTTTTTAAAAAACACTATCTATTAACATTTCACTTTGTTTTATGAGTTTTTTTTTTTGGTACATAGTATAATATATGTCATGCGTTAGCACGAGTATACATTTCCTTTATCAACAATTCACTATAGTACTCTAAATCCCCAACCCTTCAATTATATGCATTTTTTTAGAGACTACCCTCCAAACATTTTCCACATCTTTAATCATAAAAAAAAAAAAGTACAACTGGCCTCAGCAAATAACTACTTGCAACAGAACAAAGTATGTAACCCCTAGAGCAAGACACTAACTCATATGCGCTAACCGAGTAACACGAGTAACCCCTATAACACTAAACGGGTAACCTTGATCTATAACTTTGAACAAGTAAACCCCATAATAGCATTGCATGACCCCCGACATAAAAGAGTAAGACTCTGTTTTTTAAGCTTCTAAGCAAAGCATAGAATATCATATTTCAGCATAGCACAACAGGTGTCAACACATTATTAATACGATTATTAATACTCAATACAACAGAGCTAATTAGGGTTCAACAGAACCGACCAGTCCAAAATCAACCATTATAGCTCAAGTCTAAATTACAACTTCAAAATCAGCTTTCTATATTTTAAATATATTTTTTTCTTATAAATATAAGGAAATGAAGGGAAGAGAAAAGAAACAACTTTAATTTTTCTCTTTTCTCTCAAATCCCTCCAATTTTGGGAGGAAAGGAAAGTGAAAATTTTGTAAAGGCTCTTTCTTTCCACTTCCTTTCCTTTCCTACCAAATCTCATACATCATTTAGCATATAAAACATGGGAAAATAATAAAACTCAGTTCCTTTCTTTTCTTTTCTGGCCAAATCCCATCAACCAAACAAAGCCTAAGAGCAAAGTCAAAGCCGCAAATCAAGATCCATTGTCAATTGAAAACGATATCAAAAGTATTTTTAAATCCATTCAACTTTTTTATAGTAAAATCGACACTTGATATTCTGACAAAAATTTGAATGATCTCACAAATAATGAAAAAATTCCTCTATTTCATAAAGACGTTCATAATTTCGATTTTTTAATGAATATTACTCCCTAATCAAACAAATGTAAGTGAATTTTTGTGAGGAAAAAAAAAATAAAAAATGGAGTAGTTAAAAACAAAATTAAAAATGAATCAAAATCAATCGTGAGGTAAGGGAAGGTAAAAAAGAGAGTGGTTTTTTTTTTGGCATAAAAGATATATATAAAGTTAAAAATGCACATTAAAAAAAAAAAAACAAAACAAAACAAAAAAAAAAAAAAAGTTAAAAATACACAAGCAAATCTTTTATCAAACTACAAAACGATTTAAAACTAAATAGTGAAACATTTTTTGATAAGATGGAATCAATCAATCAAGGGATGTAGTAAAAATTGATAACAATATTTATCAACAATAGTTTTTACATATGGAATAAAACATTCTATATGGGAAAGGAACTTTGTTTTTCTTTGTTTAGAAAATTAAAAATTGGAAAATGTACTCTCTTCTTCATATTTATTGTTTGTTTGACCTTTTCTAGCTAAACTTTAGTACCACGTACATTTGACATTCAAACACCAACAAGGGAGCATTTTAACTACCGTCATTTAATCTCTTGGTATTTAACTATAATCACTTTTTCAATCAAAAATGACTGATACTCCGTATTTTATTGGTCAGTAACATAAATATTACTCCGTACATACTTACACAAGTTACTGTATTTACTGTTGTTAAAAACACGATTTCTCATAGTGATAATTTGAAAGTAATGTTTGAAACTATTTAGGCACGGAGTTGCAATGGAGAGAAATCCATGGGGTGATGGGCCAGAGTACATAACACAATGTCCAATTCCGCCGGGAGGCAAGTTTAGCCAGAAAGTAATATTTACAGTAGAAGACGGTACTCTTTGGTGGCATGCTCATAGTAATTGGACAAGAGCTACGGTTTATGGAGCAATTATTGTCCACCCTAAGCACGGAACCAACTATCCCTTCCCCAAACCTCATGCTGAAGTTCCAATCATCTTAGGTATATATGCTTAATTGATCGACTAATTATCATTAAATCTTGTGCATGTCATTTAGTTAAATTGGTGAAGTTTTGAAGTTATACTTTGAAACAAAGTTAAGAGTTAATCAAACCTAGAATTTGATGTATAAATTTTGTAGGCGAATGGTGGAAGATGGATATACAAACACTCTATTATTCATTTCTCCAAAAAGGAGGAGATCCAAATGTTTCTGATGCTTACTTAATCAACGGTCATCCTGGTGATTCATACCCCTGCTCTAAACGAGGTAAATCTATCTTATTATTTTACATTTTGTGATCATGTTGATAATCCGATATCAATGCAATTAGACAAATACTATGTTACTTTAAGAATTATACTACCTCCGTTTTTTATTAGTTGACACGTATATATTCCTTTTAGGAAGTTTTTTTTAATTGATGACACATTTCTTTTTGGGTAAGTTATTTACCTTTCATTTACTAGCTACCTCACTTGCTTTATCATTCTCTCTCACTCTCTCTCACTCTCTCTCATCTTGTTAATATATGTGCCTAAATCAAACACGTCAACTAAATAGAAACGGAAGAAGTAATTCATTTCAAGGGGATAAGATAGTCGATCTGTCATACTTCTTCCTTTCTTTTTTAGATACTATTCACACACTTAGCTTTACTTTTTTTTCTTTGTTTCAGACACTTTACTTAGCTAGGATGGCTAACGCGCATATAACTAACCATATCCAAAACGTTGGTTTGACTTTATATCACACATGTAGCTAATGATAGCATTAATGAGTGAAAATATGTAAACAAACATTTTTAGAGGTATTACTGTCCACACACTATTCTTAAAAATTAAAAACAAATAGGAGTCAATTTACATTATTAAGAGCAAATAAGTAAATAAACATTTTAATTAGAAGATATAATTGTTCAAACATTATTTATAAGAGTTAACTCAAACTTTTCAAAAGGTGGGGATTGGCTTTTGTATTGAACTAAAGTAAAATATAGTCATGTGACATCTTCCTAGAATCGTCTCAATATACAATTTTATCTGTCGCTACTATATGTTGACAAACATGATAAAAGAAGTGTACGTATCAAGTAAAAAGAACGGAGAACGTAATTTTCATCCTCGCTGAAACATACATCTTGTGGATGTCATAAAACTTTTGATTGTCTTCTCATATGGTACTAATAACCAAAATTGTCATTCAAATTGGTGTATGCAGATATGTTCAATCTAAGGGTGGATCAAGGAAAAACTTATCTACTTCGAATTATCAATTCAGTGACGCAAAACATCATGTTCTTCGGAGTAGCTAACCATAATCTAACAGTCGTTGGATCCGATGGTAGCTATACAAAACCATTTACAAGCGATTATGTCACTATATCTCCTGGTCAAACCATAGATGTGCTCCTTGAGGCCAACCAGAACCCGAACCAATACTATATGGCTGCTAAGGCTTATGAACGCACACCAAATGTACCATTTCCGAGAAACATAACCACCGGCATCATCCACTATAATGGAAAATACGATACAAAAAATACAACTCCATTGCCAAATCTACCAGTCCACAATGATACGGATGCATCCGTAAGTTTTACAAACTCGCTCAAGAGTTTAGCGAGTAAGGATCATCCTGTCAACGTCCCCTTAGACATTACCACAGAGTTATTTTATACGTTGTCCATCAATACTTTCCCGTGTGAGATTGGAAATACATGTGAAGGACCGGGAAATACCCGTCTTGCTGCTACTGTTAACAATGTAACATTTGAAAATCCAACCGTGGACTTACTTGAAGCATATTATCATATGATTAATGGACAATTCCAAACAAATTTTCCAAATAATCCGCCCTTGAAATTCAATTACACGGCACCTAACCTTCCATCAGAGTTCCGAAGTTCAGAGCGTGGTACAAAGGTGAAGGTATTGGAATATAATTCGACAGTGGAGCTTGTGTTCCAAGGGACGAATATACTCGGAGGAGGTGATCATCCTATGCATCTTCATGGTTATAGTTTTTACGTTGTTGGGTCGGGTTTAGGCAATTTTAACAAGGAAAAGGATCCTTTGAACTATAACCTTGTTGATCCACCTTACCAGAACACAATTGCAGTTCCTTATAACGGATGGACTGCAATCAGATTTAGAGCCGATAATCCAGGTACGTGTTCAATCACCTGATCATTGTATTGCTAATTTATTTATATGTACTAATTTAATCTTTCATACTCGTATATCAACAATGCAGGTGTTTGGTTCATGCATTGTCACTTGGATCGACACGCTTCATGGGGAATGGAGATGGCGTTCATCGTCAAGAATGGTAAAACACCCGAATCGCATATGTTGCCTCCACCACCAGACATGCCTCGGTGTTGAACGTAACAGGACAAACATGCATTCATTTAAAAGCTTCAATTATATTCATTTAAATTTTGAAGGCGAGATTGTTTTGTTTTGGGATTTATTCTTTCTTTTCATTTATATATCGAAGTTTTCATTATATTTTACTCAACATAATATGAGTAACAGAAGAACAATTACTTGTATTTGTTTTACTGTTTTTACACCTTTTAGGTACATATATGTATAAAGGTACAAGTTTTTTGAATAATAAAAGAAATATTACTTGTTTGGTTTCAAAATTTATGTACTCAAGTATGTGCTATCGAGTTAATTCCTCAATATGATACTCCTTAATTAAGCAGTTATCCCAATGGAAATCGAAAATTATGTAAGCAGTTACCCATAAATTGATTGACAATTTTATAGATTACATTTTGTTTTTAAGCACGCTGATTATCAATCAATTTTTAAAGTGTCAAAATTATTTATTTGTTCCTAAAAAATAAAATATAAATATTTGTGTTCAAAGATGACAATGCCAAAGTTGACAATTTATTTAAAAAGATAAAATATAAATCAAATCAATTGATGATAGGAAGAATAACATATATATGTCACCCGTCTTCAAACCTTTACCAACAAACCTATCTTTATAGTCAAAAACTCAAATCAAACAATAGTCCTTTCATGCCGTAATTCGTATGTATTTTTCCACAGATAAATAGTGAAATATTTTGACTTCAACCTCCAAATGAGAAGATAATTGTTCAAGATTAAGGCAGGGTCTAACATACAACTAGTCAACTAGTCAAATACTATATCATTCTATAAAACTGAAATTTCGACGATTCTAGTTACTAAAAAGCAGTAAAAAGAATCCTAGCAAAGTATTATGTGAGAATTGGAAAGAATTATGAATAGTCAAAACGACGAATTGTAGAAGCACCTAGACTAACACCCATTGTATATATAAACATATAATTTACATAAGTAAAACATAGAAGAGAAGACGGAGTTATTAAGAGACATATGTGATGAATTATAACTATATACTGACCATATGATAAAAAAAAAATGTGTGTTTTCACCCAAGCAATCTGCTTAATTGAAAGCATCAGTAACAGAATAAAGGAAATCTAAGAATCCAGTACCCTTGAGAAGGCCTTTACCAGTTAGAAGTTCAAAATCTAATAGTAATAGAAACCCGATGACAGCAGCCTTTCCATTAATCACTTCGTTCTTCCGTGTGAAACCAAATCCTCCTGAGCTTTCATCAACAAACATTTTTACCTGCACAGCGCATTGAATTTTATGCATCAGGATTCAGGATAAAGTAGGATATGATAAAATGAAAACCGCATGGAGCTTAATAAACAAGCGCCAACTAGAATCATCCTTCTGGATGATATACAACAGGAACGAGTTCCCAGCCTAATCTATACATGAGTCAAAAGATCTTGCATTTGACTAATATGGTCTTATAAATATTTTTGTTATTCAAGAATCTTCATGAAGATACTGCACCAAGATAGTGAATTATATAAATAATCCTAGATCCTTAATTAGTGTCCTAATCTATCCATCTTTTCTGTATAGTTCAAAATATGTGGCAGTGCATAGTGTACCTCTTCCACGTTGACATCTGTAGCAGTTATACCAGGTTGAGCCTTTCCACTAAAGACGATCTCAGCAGAAGCATCAACATTTGAACTACCTCCCATGCTGATGTAGATATTTTGTTCATCAAATTTCACAGGATAGACGAACAATCCCCTCAAAGCAGGGGTGAGAACTCTCAGCACTGGGTTATTTGGATACCATTCCTTAATTTCTCCACTTCGAAGATCAAATGTACTGTCAGTTGTAGGGCAGACTATGCAGCCATCCTGACATAGAATGAGGGAAAAGGACAAGTAAAAGGTAAGATGGCTTCAAATTAAATAAGCTACCAACACTCAACAGTTCAACACGCATGCAACTATCTGAGAAAGTGATTAGTTATTCAGCTACTACACTGGAATAATGAACATGTGAAAAGACTATCACTCAACCAAACTGTTCACTGCATGGTGATAAACTAGTTTTCTGGAGTATGAACTGACCTATAGCAAAAACCTAGCACATTGCAGCAAGTCATAATTAAAACCTATATATCTCAAACTTTTCATTTTACCTTAAGTACTCATGTTCATGAGTAGGACAGTGCCCCTGTCAGATATGGGTACCTGAGTCTGAACAAGAAGAAGTGATCCCAAAGCCTCAGAATAAGCTAGTTAGGCTAACAAATAATAGAACAGTAATATGCAAGTTTAGTGAGATCATTAGGTGGCAAGTATAATGAACTTGGATTTAGCAGTGCTGTATAACATGCTTCCCCGCTATTTTCTTGACATAGAGATAATCAGAAAGACATAGTTGAGTGGCCCGTACATGGAGCAATGGGTAAAACAGGAAAAAGGAGATCAGACAACACACATATCAAGTCTTCTTTCCAATTTGCTAATGCCATTATACGGCTTATTAGTTCAGTCTTTTCTGGCTAAAAAGGGATTAAAGCAAGAGATTCTCGAGTCTCCTTTTCTATTTGTTATAAAAATGGAGACACTATCTACATGTACGGATATTTTGGCAAGCAACACACATTTCATTTCTTTCACAAAAAGTGATACATTAGATCTGACCCATCTCAAGCCTGTAGATGATTTGCTATTGTTTGCTACAAAAAAGATTTTGCTTCAGGTAACTTTCTTGGAATTGAAGCTAACCTTGATAAAAATTGGCTATATTATTCAATGATTCATCAGTTGTTAGAGAGGCAGCCTTTTACGGGGGATGCCCAGTTGATCTCTTTGATTGCTGTAGTTTGTCAATCTATTTCGCCAACTCAGCAATTTGAGTTAGACCCTAATGAGTCAGCAGCACACATGGACACGCAGTGTAAACGCCACCACCTCCGGCGGCTTCGCCACCGATTTAAACGAAAACCCTAGGATAAAAGGTGAAATTAAGGGCTTACTTAACCCCAAAGGGTAAGTGTTTCCAAGAACATGGTATTGGTGAACGTTGGGTGGAGAGAGAAAGGTGGAGGTAATGGTTATATGCAGCTGCCATTGATGAATGAAGGTAGGAAGCTTGAGGAGAGAGGATGAAGAAGGTAAAGTGAGTTCACGGAAGGAAATGCGTTAACTCCGTATAATGACGTGTAGTGCAAAGTCATCCGAAACGTGGCAATTTTTACACGTAACACCTCGTAATTTACCATGTTATCCTCACATTAAGTGAGAGAAATACCTATTATACCCCTAGATTGACAAATTAAAACAATGAAAGAGATTAACAGGAAATTGCTGGCCTTTTACACCAAACATTGAGAAGACTGTCTATGAAACTAGAACTTGTACTGCTAACAAACTATCCTAAATAAACAGGCTAGTCACAGTCACTCGTCCTCTTCAGTATTCCGAAATTCTGAAGCCAGCTCTAATTATGCTCATGTAATTACAGGAAAGCAAATCAAAGTCTTTTTATAGAATGCTAAAAGTGATCAACAATGAGATTGTTGTTATATTTGAAAAACTGCATCTACCTAAACTTGATGAAGATTGCAATGTTAAAACTATCTTGATTTAAATAAGGCTGCATTCTCTAAGCTAGTTTCGTCTTTAACTGTTGCTCCATAGTCCATATTTATTATATCAAAAGAAAAATTACTCTCCTTCCAATTTGGGAATTCATTCAGGACAGCTAAAAATGGTAAGGAGTAGAGAAACTGTTGCAGTTGGTGGAGTTGGGCGCTCAATAAAATTCCAATGGTTTTCACATTGACAAGGTATGCAAAATGAACCACCAACAGCAATTTTGTATCTAGCTTGTGTGGGGCTGAGCCAGAATTATTTCAACATCAAATTTTTTCATCAATTGATTCATGTCAGTAATATACCAAAATCCACTTATTCTGAGAGAAGAGCTCATATAGATTTCTCATCAGCTTCATGTTAAAGTTCTATATGTTTCAACACCAATCTTCAACTAGCCACCCAAGTCTCCATATGCTGCATTCAATTTCAGCAACTTTCTACCAATATTCCAACTCAATAACAACCATAATTTTCAGAAATTAAAGGAATGCATAAATAGCATTACAGATTTAAATCAAGTCCTAACTAGCTGCAATTACCAGCTCATTTGTCTATTCCAAGTTTGTGTTCTAAATAGCTCTAAGCTTATACAGTCATTCTGTGACCAGTCACTGTAAAATGCTGAAACATCTACATGATCAATATTGTCCAGGCCTCCAGGGTTATATCTCTCACATAAACATTATGAAGCTGTAAATATAATAAAACAACCATGCAGAATATTGCTTATTAATGTTTCAAGCAGTTACATGGTCTAAGCTTCAGCATTTTCCATTATTTGTCCTCATAATTTCTATAATTCCTTCAGATATATGCTGAAGGAATTATAATAAACACTGACAGATATATGCTGAAGCATAAGAAACAAAGTAGAAAGACAATCACAATTTTGAATTGATATAAAACTACCATAAGAGTCCATTGATTAAAGCTGAATTTGGACTAAGTAGATTTGCATTCACTGAAAATCAATGTTAATCGAGCTATCTATTCATTTCACCTAAAGCACATGTCAATGGCGGACCTATTAAGCCCAAAGGAGCACCTGCATCCCATTTTGTGAAAAAAAAAAAAAAAGTCTTTAGGCCCAAGTTAGTTTTAAAAAATAAAACCCCAAAAATTTAGAATTTCATTCCAAATATCTTTATCTCATAAGCTGACAAACACATCTACTTCTTTACTTCCCATCTTCCTTCTTCTTTACGTGAAGATATGACAGTTATTTATTAATTTATTTATTTATTTTATTTTATTTTAAATTTTGATCACTCACGTGAGGTGAGCAATTAGGGGGAAGAAATGAAATTCTTTTAATTTCACAAAACCTTTTTTACCACTTCCTAGTTTTCTCTCTCTAACTCAAAGTCTCAAACACCCATACACTTTTCAAATTTTTCTTTCCACCTCTGAAACAAAGAATTATCAAATATTCAAGTGCATCAACAAGTTTATTTGCTCATAAGTTGGTGATAATTCTTCTTGTGGCAACCACAAATGTAGAAACTAGAAAGAGCTTTTTTATAAGTTATGAAATAATATAGATGATCATTTTTAAACGATTGTTTGGTTTCTTTCATAGATACAAATATTGCGCTTCCAACAAATTAAAATCGACAAGAACAATTGTAATTTCTTTTAAATTATGTGTTGCTTTGTTTTCCCTTACAAATAATCATGGATCTTTTTCATGAGTACAAACTCTATTATTTGTTTTGTGTTATTAAAAACAATTTGTAATTTTTGGTGATACGTCTTTGACAATGTATTACTTTGTACTCCGTACGTTGGGTTGATTAAGTTGAAAGTTTATTTTGGACCCCCATTTATAAATTTCTGGATCCGCCACCGGCACATGTGTACATACTTCGTAGACAGACACACAGTTGGCACTTTGGTTAACAACAAGAAGAATATAAGTATGTACTTCCTCTGTTTTTTAATAGTTGCAACACACACTTTTTTTTACAGTATTTAAGAAATATGGGGTTCACATGATATAATACACTTTAAAATGAGGTGTGTGGTTCTTAGGAGTGATTTTAGTGGGTCATGTGCTTTAAATAAGGGAAATAGTACATCTTTTTCCTAAAATGACTTTCCATTTATAGTGTGTTGCAAGTATCGTGACATTTCCATTTTAGAGAAGTGTTTCAAGTATTAAAAAAAACGGAGTAAGTATAACCAAACCTACAATTTAACAAAAGTACCCGACTAAAATCACATAAATGACAATGGTTACCGGATATTTTTCATCCACAGTCATATATACTTCGTGTTACATACACCAGGACCAACAGCATTGAATTTCCATAACACTCCATTCCTAAATCCTAATCATAAAAAAGCTTACTACTGGTAACAATGTTCTTCTTTTCGGAGTATTCTTTGAACAATCATCAGATTCCAAGGCGTAGATGTAAGTGCATATCAATTACACAGGACACTACCAATTCTTCCTATATCATTTAAAATTTCATTCCCATGAAAATCAATTACATAAGTACAAGCAAATGAGCAATGCATTACATAAAGAATTAAGTAATTGCTATCCAGTATTAATCAGAAAAATCTACAAAAGTGCATAATTAGAAGGGAAGGAATTTAACTCACTTGGGTAAGTTTGGCATTGAGCAAACCCTCACTGTAAGCACCTTCAGCAGGAGACCGGTTTTCGATAGCGAAAACCGAATCCTTGTACCACAAAAGCAAAATGGTCTCCCCATCTTGAATGATCACTCTCCTTTCTCCTCTAGGCAATGCGGACAGCGGCACCACCGGAACCCAATTATTTCCACCACCGTCCGACGCGGGAGATTCTTCAGCCACAGATACTTCGGCCGCCTTGCATACCACAGATCTCTTGAAACTAGTCAACTTTCGGATAGAAATGGAGATTTTAGAGGCGGGGAGGTGGGAGTTTACGGTGGGGAAGTAGTTAGGGAGAGAGTGTTTTGAAGGGGAGGAGAGAGAAACGAGAGTGGAGATGGATTTGAAGGGTGAAGTAGTGGTGGAAGCCATGGAAGTAGAGAGGAAGGTTGAAGGAGAAGTGAAAGAGAGGTTAGAAATGGAGGAGAAGGAAGAAGAAGAGGAGGGAAGTGAAATTTGGAAGACCCCATGTCCACAAGAAGTGGATAACAAAGGTTGGTTGATTGTGTAATTCGTATTTCATTACTAACCACAATTATATGCTTATAAAGACGACCCGGTCTACAATAACTTATTATAGACCTAACCTTCTAGTATACCATACAAATGTGATTATATCATACGAAATGTGATTATATCATACGAAATGTGATTATATTATTTTAAAAATGATTATATCATCTTAAACTGTTATATAATTGTATCGCTCAAAAAGTGAATTTATCATTATAAAAAGTATCAAATAGTAAATTACATCATTCAAAAGATGATTTTAAAATTTTATCATCCTAAAGATAATTATATAATCTCATTAAATGGTTTAATATGAGATCAAAATATGACTCATAAAAAGAAAATTATATCATCTAAATAAGTGATTATATCATCCAGAATGTGATTATAATATTTGAAAGAGTCAAATTTTGGGTCTACAATAATTTATTGTAGACCGGGTCCATTACTCACTTCTTAGTTCTTACTAATATAATTAGTGGTCAGCGCAGACATTTAAGCGTTTCTTTGAGTATTTTATGGGTTTTTCTATACAGTGTCCCTGAAATATTGACTTTTTCAAGCTTTGCCCACTCATTTTCAAAATTCTACGCTGTAATCCTAAGGTGCCTTTAGTGTTTAAGCTGTAATCCTACCCTAATCCCTTCGTTAACTTCAAAATAAATAAATTTAAAAAATAAAATTAAAAAAAAACCCAAAAACACCCAAACACCTCACTCTCCTCCATCACAAGTACCCACCACCGCACCTCCCGCAGCACCTCCAGCCGCACCGCCGCACTTTCGATCCAGCTTCACCGTCGCACCACAGTGGCTCGCCCCTCTCTCCTCGACCCACCACCGCATCATCCTCCTCCCTCCTCTCTCACTTCTCCTTTTACTGCCCGATTTTTGACCATTTTTTGAAAATTTTTGGGCGTAATTTGAACAATCTCGACCAATTAAACCATATTTGAGCAGATTTTCATTGGAAAAATCAATAAAAACAAGTTTTGTGTATTTAATCTCAATCTAATTGAACCAAAATTGATGATTTAACAATTTAAATCAAAATGGGGGAAAAAATTAGGGCCTGGTGTCGTTTAATTGTTGCGGTGGAGCGGGACTGCTGCGGTGGTGCGATTGTGGTTGCACTAATGTAGGGGTTGCTGGTGTTTTGTGATTTTAGGGCCTGAGGTGGGAGGAGAAGCTGGTCGGTGGCGTTTGCTGGTTCGTGCGGCTGGTCTGTTTTGGTGTGGTGGAGTGCAGGGAGCAATTTGGAGTAGGAATGTGCGGGAGGGGATTGGGGTGGCTGGTATTCCAGCAGGCAGTAGGCGGTCGAGGAGAGAGGGGCGAGCCACTGTGGTGCGGCGGTGCAGCTGGATCGAAAAGTGCGGCGGTGTTACGGCTGGAGGTTTAGTGGTGGTTGGTGGGTAGTTGTGACTTGTGAGGGAGGAGAGAGAGGTGGTTGGGTTTTTTTTTAATTATTTATTTTAAAGTTAACGGAGGGATTAGGGTAGGGTTACATCGTAGACACTAAAAGTACCTTAGGGGTACAACGTAGAATTTTGAAAATGGGTGGGCATAGCTTGGAAAGGTCAATATCTCAGGGGCAATGTATAGAAAAACCCGTATTTTATTACAGAAAATATAAGTTTACCTTTATATAAACAAAAATTGTTTATCTAGTGACATAACTGACATTTTTGTAAATAAATTAATAAAACACTCCAATTTGCATGATATTTTTGTAAATAAGTCAATAGCATTTATTAAAATGTGTGTTGACTTATTTATAAAATTGACATGCTAACTGAGATGTTTAGTTGATTTATTTACGAAATTGCCACTAGATACATAATTTTTGTTTGTCACGAAGATCAACTTGGGATCCCTCTTTTATTACTCCCTCCGTCCCCAATTGATAGTCACTTTTGAAGAAAAATCACGGGAATTAAGGAGAATTAAAGAAAGTACATGAAAAAGTAAAATTTGCACAAATATTTTTGCTAATGTTAGAGAATTTTGGTAAAAAAATAATATCAATGGTACTTGAAAAAAGCAAATATGACTAACATTTTGGGTGCCCAAAATTGGCATAAGTGACCATCAATCGGGGATAGAGAGAGAGTATTATTATTATTATTATTATTATTATTATTATTATTATTATTATTATTATTATTATTATTATTATTATTATTATTATTATATTATTATTATTAAAGATCTTGAAAGAATTTTTTTATTGCCAATAAATTATAAAAATAAATGAAAATAATAAATAGTTTAAAATAATAATTCTTGTAAAAAAAGAGGGATACCCAGTTAATTCCCCATATAAACATATAATTGTCTTTTCAAGTACCAGTGGAGGGGTACATGGGTCTTTTCATGTACTAGTTGAGGGGTACATGTCTAATTTCCTCACCAAACAGTAAAAGCAAAAGGCAAAAAGTAATTGGACAGCTCACCAAAAGTATTGAATAAATGACCCTGCTTTTTCAATATATTTACAAAAATGTCATCAGATTAACAAAAATTTGTTTATCTGGCAAATTAACTTGTATTTTCCAGTAAAAAAAATGAATAATTTTTTATTTTATTTCTAATATTTAATTTATATATTTATGTGCATGGATTGAACATGATTAACTTTTAGCTTAGATGGTAATGAGTTGGTCTTTATTCAATGAGGTTTTGTGTTCAAACCTCATTGCCATTTTTTTTTACACCTCTTTTTCTTTTCTTTTTTTAAAAAAAAAAACCTTTGCACCTTTATTTCTAATTGTTTATTTGTCATACTTCTTTCGCTTCACTACAATAGCAACACTTAGTTAACATTTAATACAAGGGGAGAGAGTGTGTAAAACATTAAAATAAAAAGTATTTTAAGTGTTAAAAGAAACATGGAGTAGGTTATGTAAGAGTAAAGTAGGTGCGAAAAATTGTAAAAGTTATTATAAACAAAGTATTCCAAGTTAGTATAAACAAAGTATTCCAATTTAGGAAAATAAGCAAGTGTTGAGAGAAATGAAGAAAACACTAAATTAATTATTAGTCTATATAAATGGAAAAAGAATAACAAATTTAGGACAATTAGCTTAAAATAATCTCAACTATTAACAGTGTGTGCAAAATAATGCAACCTCAACTATTTGTTATTAGCAATACAACCTTTTGTACTATATGTGCAAAATGGTATGTTGGACACTGGATAAGGCAACTTGAGGAATATTTGGTTCATACCCATTACTATATTGTTTTAATCATTATTATTTTTAATATTAAATAATATTTTTTTTTTTCAAAGTACATTTTATGATAATAATTTCCTCAATGCTCCACCACTTTGTTAGACAAGTAAATTAATTTTATAAATAATTTTTTTCACTATCACACAAAAGTCAATAGAGTATTTAAATACATTTTTATATTAATATAACTAGTATTAAAAATTATTATAAAAACCAAAATTAACATAATAATTCCTATGTTTTTATACTTGCAACACCCTTTTTTGACATGCTATTTAAATATGTGATTAGACTGTGTAAGAGGACGAATTATAAGCTATAAAATTTAAATCGTAGCAACTTAACACTTTCTTTTATTGTTGGTAATATTTTGTTAATTAATTTGTCTAGTTTTTTATAAGGTTGTTCATCGGTCCAAGACTGGACCGACCCAGATTGGATCGAACACCGAAAATTAGAATTTTAAGAATCGAAGATCGGAACGAATAAGTTGGGACCGAACCGAAGGAATCGGTCCAAAACCCGGACCGCACCGCTTTTGGCCTATTTAAGATTTAAAAAAAAAGAATTCTAAATTTTTAATAAAGTTGTGCAAAACACGAAATAAGTAAAGGAAAAATTATATTTTAACATTTTTTTGTATGTTTGGTAAAAAAAGCTTATAAAATTAAAGTTAAGTAAGCTTACTAACAATAATCTTAACCATTATTTAAGGTTTCAAGCATATTTTTTAATTAAAAAATCGGTCCAGTCCAAGACCGGTTTTTATAGGGTTGTGGACCGGACCGGACCAAAGACCGGGAAAATAAATTTCAAGACCCGAAGATCGGACCGATTAATTCGGTTTGGTGCGGTCCGAGGTCGTTCGGGGTGGTCCGGTCCATTTTTCGGTTCAGACTGACTTATGAACCCCTCCTAGTTGTTTTATCTAGTCTGATATCTCCGTTAAAGTGTGTGCCAATGTAGTGCGTTGTAACATGCAAGTAAATAAAAATGGGGGGAGTTATGTATTCTGAAAAAAAAAATTGATATTTGATATTAAAATGATGCAATATGATTATGGACGAAATATTACTCAAGGTACCTGACCTTCTCTAATGCCAAAATTTACCTTTCTATTGATTCCTGCGGATTGGATCAAAAAAGCGGAAACCAAACAACTACCAACCTATTTGAAGAGAAGGCGGTCGCCCTCTAAGTTTACCACCTTACTCACTAATGGACTATGAGGAGCGCAAGCAAATAAGAACCGGCCGAATCACTATATCAAACCGTCTCTTTACTCAATAGATAGCGCTTATCCTCTTTCAATAAAAAAAATTAGAAATGGGGAAGAAAAAGGTCATTATTGAAAAAATTGAAATTGAAAAGACTTTGCACCTGAAACAAGATTCCATAAGAATGAGTTGGGCTTTCAAAAAAGATGAAAATGCAAGGTATGTCGCCGCTTATGCGAAGCTTATGGGGTAAAAAGAAAATATTTTGAACAACCAACCTGACTTATGCCTAATTATTTTCGTAGCTATGGTTTCAGTACAAGCAGGATTCCCTTGAAAAAGTGTTGTGATTCCATCTCGCCTTGAGAGGAATGAATTAAAGGTTCAATCCACCACGTACTAATGCCTAACGATTCTGCTATTTTGGTGGCTACTGATTTTCACAAAGTTGGTCCCTCTGGGAAAAGGCAAGTATTCAAAATTTCGTGTCCAGTTCGCTTTGTATATGCTGAT